CCTCTATATCCTGTATTGCTGATGGGGGTTATATGGGCTGTTAGTGTCCAATCATTGGTGGTGGCTCTATGTAACCCGTGGCCTATGATTGAAGGAGCCGATGTCCTCAGACTTCATCATCCTCTGTTTTCTCTTCCAGCTCTGAACACCGGGCAGACCTCAATATTCGGAGGCAACCAGGCAAAAATGGGCACACTCGGCACCGGCACATTCGGCACCGCTGGGTTTAACACGGCCGGGGGCGGCTTGGGATTCGGTGGTACTCAGGCCCCTGTCGGTGAGTAACGAAGCTCCGAGATGTCTGCACAGAATCAGACTTTGCTGCTGAGAGAACTCTCCCGATCATCGCTGAGAGTTCCATGTGTGGTGACGGGAAGAACCCTTTCCTCCTGAAGACCCTTTTCTGTCCTTTCCTCCTGAAGACCCTTTTCTGTTTCTCTCCTCCTGAAGACCCTTTTCTGTCCTTTCCTCCTGAAGACCCTTTTCTGTCCTTTCCTCCTGAAGACCCTTTTCTGTTCTTTCCTCCTGAAGACCCTTTTCTGTTCTTTCCTCCTGAAGACCCTTTTCTGTTCTTTCCTCCTGAAGACCCTTTTCTGTTCTTTCCTCCTGAAGACCCTTTTCTGTTTCTCTCCTCCTGAAGACCCTTTTCTGTCCTTTCCTCCTGAAGACCCTTTTCTGTCCTTTCCTCCTGAAGACCCTTTTTCTGTTCTTTCCTCCTGAAGACCCTTTCTGTTTCTCTCCTCCTGAAGACCCTTTTTGTTTCTCTCCTCTAGCTCTGAGTGACCCCAATGCAGCGGCTGCCCAGCAATTGGCTCTCCAGCAGCAAATCAATGCCCTGGCCTACTCTCCATACGGGGACTCCCCTCTCTTCAGAAACCTCATAGATGACCCCAAGAAGAAGGAGGAGGTGAGTAGTCGTGACTTCTGGAGGCTAGAATGATCTATATCTGGCATCATGCAGAGTCCCCCCTCAGAGGGATATCAAAGTAACACCCAATCCCGGCGGGAACTCGCTCCCTACTACAGCTGGACGGTCAGCCATGTCATCCTCCAGGACCTCGGGCTGAGCGTCTCCCATCCATGTCTATAGCGGAGATGTTCCTAGGGGCCAAGCTTGGTCAGGTGCTGGGGAAGTGTAGGGATCTCTATAGGCAGGAGGACTCTCCATGGGGTGTGGTTAGGGATGCGCTGATACCGATACCACGTATTTGGGAGAGTACTCGCCTAGCCGATACTTCCTGCATCAGGGCGCCGAGTCATTACACGGGGCCCGGTTTCCTGATTGGCCGGGAAGCGTCTCCATGCTCCCTTGTCACTTGTGATGAGAGAGCATGGAGCAGACTTCCCGGCCAATCAGGAAGCTGTGCGCGGTGTAATGACTCGGCGTTCTGATTGACCAGGAAGCTGGCTTCATGCTCCCTCGTCACCTAATGATCAGGGAGCCGGCCAATCAGAAAGCAGGGCGCTGCGTCATTACTCCGCGCACGGCTTCCATGATGCTCCGGCTGGGTACCAGAGGAAGGCCGCGTTCTGGCTGGAGGGGCCCCGGGGGTGACGGGCCGGACAAGGTGAGAGGCGACTTTCTTGGTAAGCGGAAAGCCGGGTCATTAGACGCCACCCGACTTCCTGAATGAGAAGGGCCCCTGGGAGTAGTGTGTTCTAGTGAGATGAGGGTCCCGGGAGTAGAGTGTTGTAGTGAGATGAGGGCCCCGGGAGTAGAGTGTGTTGTAGTGAGATGAGGGCCCCGGGAGTAGAGTGTTGTAGTGAGATGAGGG